TTTATTTAAACCGTGCTATATAAATAAAGTGGATTGGATTGGATTCTTTTCTCCAACTGGTAAAGTAGCAGCCATGTATTTCAGCCCAGATCTTCTCCTGCTTCCCTTCATTCTTCTGCTCATCTCCTGCAGTTTCTGGACCTTCCGTGCGTCGCTCTTCTCCCTTATCTGGTCAGTCAGGAAGTCCAGGAGGACCAGAGATGAAAGGGAGTCGTCTTGGAGGGCGATCTGCTCCAGTCTGACCACATGGAAATAGGCTTCGTCCATCAGCTGGAACTTCTCTGCTGACAGCATTCTGCTCTCCTTCTCAAGACTTTCTAAAAGACTCGACTTCTTCATAAATTCTGCTTTGCTGGTTTCATATCTCCTCTTCACATCTTCCAGGGTTTTCTGCACTTTCCTGGTTCTGGGCTCATATCTCCACTCTTGTTTTACATGAAATGAAACATTACAACCACAAACGGTGCAGCGGCTGTTTTTCATGACGTCACAGGTGTGAGGAGACCAGGCCATGGTGCACGGGAAGTGACAGGTTCTCTCACACTCAAAACAGGAGACAGCTGCGTTGTAAAAAAACACCCCCCACATCCCACCATCCAAATAATATTGACCTTGATAGACCTCATCTACTTCTATGGTAAACTCCATGTTCCTCCTCATCTCTTCTTCATGGCCCTTCAGGGCTTCCTTAGTCTGTCTGATTTCTGTCTGCTTCTGCTCCATCAGCTGGATTCTGTCCTGCAGGTTCTGGATGCTGGCTGTCAGTTTGATCCGCTCATTCAGAACCTCGTTGGTCATTGCCAGAGGCTGAGGTTTGGATCTTGTTAGGAACTGGATCAGACGGTCGATGTGTTTGCAGGATAAGTCCCAGGAATATTTCAGAGCCGCTGCTCTTTCTGCTGTGCCTCTCGCTGAGGTTTGCTTAGAATCCAGCAGGAAGTGGAGCGGCTGCTTCTGCTCATCTTTGGCACATTTGGTGTTTGTAGCTTCCAGGACCTGAATGACGTTTTCAGGAGATGTTCCATCCGAGTGTGTGATCAGAGTTACAATCTTTTTCTCCAAGTCTTTTCCAAAGAGAGACATCACCGAGTCATAGATGTATGTCAGACGGTCACTTAGTCGGTTCTCACTTGCCTTCACCACCAGACCAACAGCATGAAGCTCATGGATTTCATCCTTTGACTGAAACAGGTTCAACAACCTCTTTCTTATGGTGACATCATGTTCGATACCTCTGCTATTTCCAAACCCCGGAGTATCAATGACGGTCAGGGAGAACGGCAGAGCGTCACCTTCATAGATCTGATAAACGATCACATCTGAGGTTTGGCTTTCAGAGCGACTCTCTTTCTGCTCTGTGATCTGAAACCAGACTTCATCCTCAAACTTCACCTGCATGCTGTAGTTCAGCAGAACATCGATCAGGGTCGACTTTCCTGCTCCTGTTTCACCAACAAGTAAGATTGTTTTATTTGGCTTTGTTGCATCTTTCTGACCAAAACTAAATCTTGTCACCGTTCCGATCTTCTCGTTCTTCGCTCTTAGCTGGTAGACAGCAGGAGGTCCGGGATGGATGGGGAAACTGTCTGAGATGAGCTCCTCGTGGTCTGATGTGATGCATCTCCTCCTGCAGAGAAAAAGTTCAGATGGTCCTCAGGTTATTGTTATTTACTGAAAGAAGGGCGTCCCTTTTTTCCTAATGATATTCGATTAGAAGCTGATTTAATCTTCTCAAATTATGTCCTTTTCTGTTTTAATCCTGGATTTCTGTACAGAAAAAAGCAGACTAAAGCTCCACCATTTTCTAGCTTTATTTTAAAATACTGTTGGGGCATGAACCATGATAATAATTTTGGACATTGAGGAGTAATGTTCTTTGTTGCTGTTGCTTTAAAACCGCACTACGGCGCTCCCTGGTTGATATTTTGTTGCGTTATTTTGGTGACAGAAGGATGTAGATCCAAGATGGTGGAACGCAGCACTGAGCATTTGTGGAATTGAGCTGATTGTTATTGTTCACATTGTGATTTAGACAAGATTTGTTCATAAGTATTGTGTATCTTCGCTTTATGTAACTGGTGTAAATAATTGTACACCGAAGTTATCTATGAAAAATGCATCAAAAATGAAGCAGTTGATGCGTTTTTGCTGCTGCTTTTGGTGTAGACATAGCATTAAGCATTCTGAGCAACAAAAATGCTCCTGCTGCTTCGCTTCTACACATTAAGGTCAGTCTCGCCTCAAGTGCGTCTTGGATTCTCCAGAAACGCGTCCAGTAAAGTGTGCACAGTTGCTTCTGATGCTTCTGTGTTTAATTGTAAACAGCGGCTTTGCTATATTTGCTGTTATAAGTGACTAAAAACTAGTTTTAATTTAACAACTCTTCAGCAAGAAAAAA